GCATATGATGAAAACTTGCCTGGGATGGTGGATGTATTGCTGAGAAACAGGACTATTACTTAAATATAAAAAATGAGATTCCTCTGAAGCAAAGTATTTTTCCATTGGGAAGGTGGAGAAAGGTGATTCTCCCCAGGATTATTTAGTCTTTTCCCGTTTTATGAAGAAGATGCTAAGATGTTTTTCCTTTTGATTTGGAGACTGCCCAGGAAAACCCAAGGGCTTTTATTTCAAGGCATGGGGTACTTTCACAGGTATGGCAGCAGTGCCCTTATGGAACAATCAGTGAAAGAAGTGGGTTCATACAGTCCCAACTGTATCAAAGGGTTTGATACATCTTTTTACACAACTAATAAAACCATCAAAAGCACAGAACTTGGTGGTGATGGGGGACTTCAACTACCCAGACATCTGTTGAGAAAAATAATACAGCAAGGCACATATTATCCAACAAGTTCTTGGAATGCATTGGAGAAAATTTTTTATTTCAGAAGGTGGAGAAAGCAACTAGGGGAGAGGCTGTTCTAGATTTGAATTTGACAAATAGGAAGGCACTGATTGAGAATTTGAAAGTGGAAGGCAGCTTGGTAAAAGTGATCATGAAATTATAGAATTTATTATTCTAAGGAATGGTAGGAGGGGAAACAGCAGAATAAAGACAATTGATTTCAAGAAGGCAGACTTTAGCAAATGTAGGGAGTTGGTAGGCAAGATCCCATTGGAAGCAAAGCCTAAGGGGAAAAACAGTTAGAGAGAGTTGGCATTTTTTCCAAGAGACATTAATAAGGGCACAAGAGCAAACTATCCCACTGCGTAGGAAAGATAGGAATTATGGCAAGAGGCAACTCTGGCTTAATTAGGAGATCTTCAATTATCTGAAACTCAAAAAAGAATCCTAAAACTAGATCAAATTACGAAGGATGAAAATAAAAAAAAACTACACGAGTATGTAGGGACAAAATTAGAAAGGCTAAAACACAAAATGAGATTAAACTATCTAGAGACATAAAAGGTAATAAGAAAACATTCTACAAATACATTAGAAGCAAGGGGAAGACCAAAGACAGGGCAGGCCCATTATTCAGTGAGGGAAGAAAGACAACAGAAAAGTGCTAAATGCTTTTTTTTGTTTGTTTTTCACCAAAAAAGTCATACCGATTGAACATCTAACATAGTGAACTCCATAAGATTTGAGGCTAAAATAGGGAAAGAACAAATTAAAAATTAGATAGACAAGTTAGATGTTTTCAAGTTGGCAAGGCCTGATGAAATACATGCTAGGAGCTGACAGAGGAGATATGAGCCATTAGCGATTATCTTCGAAAACTCATGGAAAATGGAAGAGATTACAGAGTACTGGAAGAGGGCAAATATAGTGCCAATCTATAAAAAGGGGCGTAAGGACAACCTGGGGAATTACAGACTGGTCATCTTAACTTCAGTACATGGAAAGATAATGGAGCAAATAATCAAGCATCAATTTGCAAACATCCAGAAGATAATAAGGTGATAAGTAACAGTCAACATGGATTTGTCAAGAGCAAATCATGTCAGTCCAACCTAATTGCTTTCTTTGATAGACTAACAAGCCTTGTGGATAGGGGGGAAGTGGTAGATGTGGTATATCTTGACTTTAGTAAGGTTTTTGATACTGTCTTTCATGATCTTCTCATAAACAAATTAAGGTCATGTCTACATGTACAGTGGTGCAGCTGTACCAATACAGCTGCGTTCATGCAGCGCATCTGGTGAAGATGCTCCATGCTGACGGGAGTGACCTCTCCTGTCAGCATACAGAAAACACCACTGTGCACATGAACGTTTATGTTGGTGTAATTTATGTCCTTCGGGGGTGGAATATTCACACCCCTGAGCAAAATACATTTTTGCCGACATAGGCTGTAGTGTAGAAATAGCCTAACGAAATATAACCAAGGTGGAGCTGGTGTAAGATGGGTGCATAACTGATTGGAAAACTGTTCCCAGGGAGTAATTATCAGTGGTTCACAGTCAAGCTGGAAAGGCATATCAAGTGGAGTCCCGCAGTGATTGATCCTGGGTCATTTTCTGTTCAATATCTTCATTGATGATTTAGATAATGGCATAGAGCAGAGGTCCCCAAACTGTGGGATGCGTCCTCCTAGGGGGGCATGGAGGTATGTTAGGGGTGTGTGGCCAAGGCCCGGGGCAGGGAGGGAACACCACCCAGTTCTTCTCCTGGCCCTGGCCCCGGTTGCCAGCTCCGGGGCCCTGACTGCTAGCTTCGCCCCCTGTCCGGGGCTCTGCTCCCACCCCCAGCTGTGGCTCCAGCCTTGGCCCCCCCTTATCCCTGTCCCTGCCCCGCTCCCAAGCTGTGGCCCTATTCATGGCCCCAGCTGGGTGGGAGGCATGGACTGGGTAAGTGGGGGGTGCAACCCTGAAAAGTTTGGGGACCACTGACAGAGAAAGTACACTTATAAAGTTTGCATATGATACCAAGCTGTGAGGGGTTGCAAGTGCTTTGGAGGATAGGATTAAAATTCAAAATGATCTGGGCAAACTGGAGAAATGATCTGAAGTAAATAGGCTGAAATTCCATAAAGACAAATACAAAGTACTCCACTTAGGAAGGAACAATCAATTGCACACATACAAAATGGGAAATGACTGCCTAGGAAGGAGTACTGAGGAAAGGAATCGGGGGGTCATACTGGATCTCAAATTAAATATGAGTCAACAATGTAACACTTGTTTAAAAAAAATAATTCTGGGATGTATTAGCAGCAGTGTTGTAAGCTAGGTACGAGAAATAATTCTTTCACTCCACTCTGCACGGATAAGGCTTTAACTGTAGTATTGTGTCCAGTTATGGGTGTCACATTTCATGAAAGATATGGACAAATTGGAGGAAGTCCAGAGGAGCGCAACAAAAATGAGTAAAGGTCTTGAAAACATGACCTATGAGGAAAGATTGAAAAAAATTGTTTGTTTAGTCTGGAGAAGAAGACTGAGAGGGGACATGGTAACAGTTTTCAAGTACATAAAAGATTGTTACAAGGAAGCCATTGAAAATTTGTTTTACTTAACTCTGATGATAGAATTAGAAGCAATGGGCTTAAATTGCAGAAAGGGAGGTTTAGGTTGGACATTAGGAAAAGCTTCCTGTCAGGGTAATTAAGCACTGGAACAAATTGCCTAGGGACAGCAGGTTGTGGAATCTCCATCATTGGAGGTTTTTAAGAACAGGTTAGACAAACACCTGTCAGGAATGGTCTGGTTATTACTTACTCTTGACTTGAGGGCAGAGGACTGGACTAGATGACCTGCTGAGGTCCCTTCCAGTCCTACACTTCTGTGATTCTATGATAGAAAATATCCTTTGCTTAGAAATACCTCCATCTAGTTCTTACCAATTGTTGCGGCTCTTATAACTGGAGGCAGAACTGGCTAACTGAATTTCCCCTCCCTGTTAGCATGCCCATTGATGTGATACAATGGTAGTAGCCTGAATCCTCCAGTGTCATTGGAAGTTGCATGCTAGAAAGACCTACACTTACAAAGGGAAAAAGGTTGCTGTTGTGAAAAGTCCCTTGTGTATTCTCTTATAGACGCCATACAAAATCTGCTCCACTTCTTTCTTCTTCTGTCTGAGTTTGGGTTAAAAATAATCTCCCTAATGGCTTTTCTACCCTGGGAAATTATATCATGTTAGACAACAATCCTGAGGAGTCATGGTAATTAACATGGTGTGAAACAATGCACACTGGGACTGTTGTGTTTAACATTGTGTCAGCTGGTCATGGCTAACCTTATGGGTCACTGGCTCAAAAGGTTAAAATAACATTAATTTTTGACACATGGAGGCTTTTTCATCACAGCTTTCAAATGCAACTGGCCTTTCCTAATTTCAGTGATGACAACTGCAGAGGAGGTATCTATCTTTAATATGTTAACAAAAGGCTGAAATATATGAGGCTGCTAAAGAGACTTAGACCTATGTGTACTGGGAAAGTACATCATATTAGAACCCTGGGGAGTTGTGGTAACTAACACAGTGTTAAACACAACTGGGGACTCAGCATAGACAGAGAATATTGTGCATACCATAGCATCAGCTGGTCTAGGGTCTACCACAGTTCTGGTTTGGATTTGGCTCAAGATAGTGGAAATATCTCAATAACAGTTCACTGGACATTTAGCTTCATCAGCTTCAAATCCAAAATCTGAATCCTAGCCAAAACCTAATACAAATCTCTGTTCCACATCTTCAGCCTACCTATAATGATATTCTTCAGTCTGAAGGCAAAAATCCAAGTAACCTGTTTGTTATTGCCAAAAGGAATAATTAAGTATCCTTTGGCAAAAATAAAACTTGCTTTAGGTCCATAAAGTTTTATTAAATAACTTCTATATTTCATCATGTTATGCTTCCATCAGAAGACTAAAGGTATAGTATTTGGTAAAATCTGCTAGTGGGTTGAATGTTTGTCTCTCATATTTCCATAGGGATTGGAGTTGAATGTAGTAGTAGCACTAGTAGAATTCTTAATCATAACATTATAGCAGTTTTATATTTTTAAGTACAGCGTATAAAACTTAAGTTAGTTTTGCATGCTGGAGCCCAGATTTGGTGCCTGAAATGTAACTCTCATGTTGTCAGGGCCTGGAAGTGGTATGGAGATATTGCATTCTGCCCCTCTATGTATGATGTGTGGTTAAGGCCGGGAAAGGGGAAAGTGATACATGCTCCTTACTAACAAACCCCCTTGGGAAAAAAATGGAAGATGCAAGGGGTGGGGGAAAGGTTGCTACAGTGAGTGGGGTGTGGTAGACATATACCCCTATAACCACCTCCACCCAGTAAATCTGTGTATTATATATAAAATGTCAATTGTATTTTTTTTTTTAATATCTGCTGTTTGACTTGCAGAGCGTGGCAGAGATCAGATCAGTCAGTCTAAAGGATGTGAAAGGATGACTTTTGTGCTGTTAAAATCTTGTAATATGTGCTAATCTTACAGAGCTATGTCCATCTGGGATAACAGTCTACAGATTACCACGATGTGTAGCATAGTGGGAGCATGGCTTGGAGCATTTCCTATTCCTCTGGATTGGGATCGGCCTTGGCAGGTTAGTCTTCATACCTTTTATTATAAGTGTATACACATTTGTTTGTTGCAGTGTGAGAGATGAACAAAAAGCAGGGAGACGGTAAAAGTGTATTAGAGGTGCTAGCATGAAGCTGCTTATGTAATGTAGCCAAATCCCATTTAAGAACTGTATAATAAATATCTCTTTTCCAGTATACATGTATCATGCAGCGTTTTTACTGCTCTTTCAGTTGGTTTTGAAGTGTTTTGTGTGCATGTGCTGATATTATCAGTAGATGCTTGAAGAAAATATCACCGAAAGCTAATATTCAGAGTTTGATATTGAGGAGCTACACAAGCAGGAAGAGAAGAGCAACATGACATATGACAGGGAGTGTATCCATGTTCAGTTTGTGGATAGAAAGCATTGCTTTTATTGTTTATGGGGAGGGGAAGAGAGTTGCTTTCCAAGTGTTTCAGCTTCCCTGCACCTTCCATTAAAGCACTTAACGAAATGCATTTAAAATTGCTATTGGCTTAATATTGATTTGTGTAGTTTGTGTGGCCAAATACCTCTGCTGAAAATTTACCTTATGATTTCAAAGGAAACACTGGCAAGTAGCAGCTACTTTGTTGCACAATAAAAAAATGGGAAGCTGGCACTGCAGAAAAATCTGTAAATTCAGCAGTCTGCACTGTTCCATTTGACTTTAATTGACGTGCGGAAATAATCTCTCTACTGTTACCTAAATATGTAAATGCTCTGATATGATTCTTAATAATAGCTATTGGTGTAATTAGAAAGAAAACACTGCTGCGTTCCATCTTAGTGAGGTGCTAACTGTTTACAATAAATCCATCAATATTTGCCAACCCTATAATGCTATTGATCAGATGGAGTTCAGAAGTCTCCTCTTCCAGAAATTTGTAGCGCTGCCAGCACGCCAAGTCTCTCTCATCCTCAGAAGCCTGGTGATTTATACTCCTGTTCGAGGGTTTTTCCCAGCAGGAGCTGAGCAGGTTACCTTTGTGTCAGAAGTCTTTTTTTTAGATCAGTATAATTACATCTTTATTAAAATGTTTTAAATATCCCAAGAAATCAGAATAGCAGATGCGTGGTTTAGTAGCTTAAGAATAAAGTTTGACTTAACTCCTTGCAGCTACATATTCTAAACCTTGGAGCATGTTTCACCCTTCCCTCCTCTTGAGGGTAGGTGCTTGGCAGCATCATTTAGTGTATCAATTACGTGGTTTCTTTGATGAGACCTTAAAATCAATGGGCTCAATCCTGTAAAGTGTGCCTTGTGCAGGGCATCCTCATCTCCTGCTGACTTTAGTGGAGGTTGAGAATGCTTGGCACTTTGCAGGAGTAAGTATGGGGATTTTGCTTTCCTTGCTTTGACGTTAATTAACATTCCCCTGTCATTTTCTAAAAGTCATGTCCCAGTGCCCTAGGTCAGAATCCACCCCAGCCTAGAGACCCGTGTGTCTCTCATCCTCCTGACCAGGGTTTTTCCAGGCTGCATAGTTCCCTGCCTACACTAAGTTTCCCAGCAATACAGAGTGTCTAAGCAGGCCTGCTTTGCTTTCTCTTCAGAGGCAATAAGCAGCATAATTGCCCACAACTGAAAGTTACCACATAGTTCTTTCTAAGCAAGCACATTTACTCTTAAGGTGAAAGCATTACAGAGAAAACATATTGAAAACAATAAAAGAACCTACATGCAGGCTGCTAAACTTACCAGAGATCACCCCCAACTCCAGCAAGGGTTCTGGCACGTGATCAAGCCTTCTTCAAACTCTATTAAGGCGTTTTTCTGTGGTTACGAGTTCATTGCAACTGTTAGCTCAGAATAAGCACTCTGTGAATCATTCATTCTTTCCTTTATGCAGTTTGAGCCTTTGAGCTTGTTCTCATATAACAGATGATCAGCAGACAAAGGTCCCCTCCTCAGGGCAAAGCATTACTCGAGGGGGGTACATTAGCATGCACATTTGCCTAGAGATTTCCTGGGAAATGCTGTTTAACTTTTTGTCCCAAAAGTTCGTTCTTGTCTGGTACATTGTTTAAAATAATCTTTTGAAATTCATAACACTTCCCAGGGTTTACATTGGCCACGTCTCCCTTCTACAGAAGTTACATACAATCCCACAACAGTATAAAAACTCGGCATTTATAATACTATGGACTCCAAAGCTATTTAAACTTAATTCATTTAGCTCTCTCAAAGATATTGCAGGAAATTGCCATATCTGTCACAATGGGCACCAATCGATGTGGATACAGCTCTCCACCCTAGAGAAAACTGCATTTCACTGTGTTTGCATGTTGTATGTGTAGGGACAGATTTTTACATTTCCCTGATCTTTGTTGTTTACACCCATGCAAAGAGTGTATATTGCTACCAAATCAGCACTGGTCTAATCAAGTTTGCAAGATGGAGTGCAACAGAGAATCTGACCCTAACAATGTACTTTGGTCTCCTGTGGGATGAAAATTGTTGTATACTTGAAAAATACTTTATTAATACAGTATTGCACAAGATCTAGGTCAGAATAAAGACCTTACATTAGATAATGTATGTCTTGAAGACTTCACTAATAAATTATATATACAACTTCTCATAAGTTGTGTAATATGTCTGTATCTTATATACCAATAGTATGAGCTGAGATATAAAAAATGAATAGATTCTGATGAACAAGACACACATATTAATTAGATAAGACAGATAATGTAAATAAATGTAATTCTTGATTATACAGCTCCAAATGTTGACATGTGGGAGACCCAAGTTTGGCAGTATCCTGGCAACTTTTTGTGTGTGTGACTAATATAGACTTGGGTCAGAATTTTCAAACGTGAGTGGCTAAAGTTGGGCTTCTGAATCTATATTCAGGCATCTAAACAGGTGTTGCCAGCTATTCAGAGATGCTGAGTGTGACAGATATTGCGTCTGCATGCAGCATCTTTCGGAGAACATATTGTATTAAGGTAATAAATAATCTCTGTATTACTGTGGGCCAGGCATTGTATGCAGCTCAGGGGAGGGGGATAATGGTTGCTTTTAGCTCCTCCAGGAACTAAAACCAGTGGGGGATGATTAAAGTGAATCACTCAGGTTGTAAATACCTCTAGAGGTACCATCCCTTGGGAGGCTTGCATATACTTGTTCAAAGTGGGTTTTCCAGAGACTAACAGAAAAAGAAAGGGCTTTAGATATAAAAAGGCTGCATTTAAACTGACTTAGGGCCTCCTTTCTGATACAGCTAACAGACAGGTCTTTCTATCCAAAGGAGCCCCTTACTTTGGCCTACTAGGGTCCCATAAGTATGACAAGTGATTCTGGTATGTTTAGTTTTTGTTTAAATCTGCTTGTTTTTTATATGTTTTCTCTCCAATGCTTTTACCTTGAGAATAAATGCGCTTGCTTGGAAAGAACTTGGTGGTAACTAGTAACTGCTAGTAATGCACTGTTCATAGCCCTCAGAGAGAGAAAGCCAAGCACAGGTGCTGGCCTTTAGGCAGACTGGCTTGCCAGGGATATCACAGTGTAATGCAGGGAGCCTTGCAGTCTTGCCCTCCCCTCCTCCCCGCCCCTGTCACAAGGAATGGGACAAGGGTCCCTGCCCAGAGACAGGTGATGACTGGAGATCTGAGACCTGACTGGGCACTCCTGGAATGGACCACAGGAAGTGTGTGTGTGGTGGGGGGGGATACAGGTGCAATTATCCTGAGACTGTGACACTGAATATCTGCAGTTTTCGAAGTTACAGTAGCTTGTCACTGGATGTCTTTGGGCAGCAGTACTGTGCAGAACCTCTGCAGCGCTATGCACTGTGGCTGCACACCTCCTTGTCCCTGACACTCACTTCCCCCTCCTACCCTCACCTCTGGTATGTGCCTTATACTGGAGCTTGGGAGGGAGTCCACAAAAGACAACCTGAGGCTATCTTCCTCCTTTCCTGTGCTAGGGGAATTCTCCCATGCCCATATCTAGGGTTTTCAGAGCTCCTTTGTCACTCTGGCCCCTTTACCCAGCATATGGCAGCTTCAGCAGGGGTGAAAATCTCACTGAAATTTTGCGCTTAAAGTACTTGAGTATCCTTTTTAATCATCTCTTTCTGGGGAGCTTATGGAGTAACCATAGGGCAGGCAGCTTATCAATCCTGTAGGCCATAGATAGGAGACTGCTTGTGGGGGACAACATTTTTAAATGCTAATGTTCTTTATGGTCCACTTTATAGGGGAAAGTGAAAGAAACCTTTTTAATACAAAACAGCTTGTATATTTGTATTTATCTCCATAAATATAGTCAAACACAAAAATGATACTGTCAGTGGGGTAGAAACCAGTCTTTATAGGCTGGTTTTTATTAACCTGGGCTTGACTTGTAGAACTTGACAAATATCAATTGAGAGATAATATGAACAGGGACTTCAAAAATACCTGGTCACTAAATTATAAGAGATGAAAAAGGTGTCCTGGCCAAACTTTTGTGGTGTTTGTAATGGAAACATTGCCCCCAGTCCGGTCAAGCTGAGATGTCCCATGGAGGTGATGTATTGGAGTTGGACTGTTAGCATTCCCAGAGAGCTGATTCAAGGAACAGCATTAACATTGGTCTTTTCCTTCCTCCCACCCAATAGAGCAGTGGTTCTCAAACTTATGTGATCGCACCCCCCTTCTTTGTGTCTGTAGTAGTTTATGCCCCCTCACCACACAAGTACATATATCGATAAAAACAAATCAACATGCAGCTCACTAACTATTAGAATATGTAAGGCATTGATTCAAACAGAGCCAACAATCCATTGCAATAAGAGCAAAGCAAAACTGTGATTGTGGTCGATTCTTACAATTAAATGTACACACCACATTGTAGCAAATGGATTAATGTACAGACAGCAACGACTTTGTATAATACGATGCAAGCTTAACAGAAATCCATCAATATGCACAGCACCATCTAGAGTCAAATACACAGTGCCACCTGAGGACCTCGTATGGCTGGAGGAATCAGCTTTGTTAGTCAGTGC